AAACCCTGTTGAAAACAGGGTTCTGGCCGGTCGACCGACGCCATTGCATCGGTCGACCGACGTTGGATTTTCCAGATTCCTAGTTTGTTTGGAAATTTGTTTTGGGCTCAGATACTATATATACCTTAAACGTTTTAGGGTTTGTAAAACACGAAAAAGAGGGTTTTGACGGCACTTTGAGATCAGAGATCTTAGAGAGAGAGAGAGAGTCCTATTGCCGAGAGAGTCCTATTGCAAACATTGTAATCTTCTTCAATTAATCAAAGTTTTTGGTGTGGCTCCCATGGACGTAGACACATTTACCGAACTTCGTTAAATTTAATGTTCTCTATTTGATTATTTTTTCCTGTAAGTTTTTTTTTATTTGCTATGATTTTCTGCTTGCATACTTTCGACACAAGATCAGGACACGGGTTGTGTGTTCAACCCAACACTCTTTTTTACCTTTTTTTTCTTTTTCTTTCCTTTTTTTCGCTTTATCTATACCGTCTATACCCAGCGACTCTGGAACTTCTCATGACAAGATTCAGCTCCTGAGTTCCAGCACCTCCCATCATTTTGTCAAAGTAGTAAGGAGGAATCAATTTCAGAGGCTCAACATCAAACAATGTCTCTCCGTTATCACCATCCACCACGCCATTAGAGAGCTCAGAATTCTAGAATTGAATTCCCTCAGCAAAATTTACCTTGACTAGAGACACGGGACATGATACCATGCATGGCCCACTTGCTCGGTCACAAGTCTCAACACAAGGAGACTTCTTTTTTGTCACTGATGTCATCTTTAGAAACAGAAAATTCCACTTTACTTTCTTGATTTGAAACAACACCTTCTCTTTTCAAAAAATAAAAAAAAGCACCTTCTATAACAGGTTGTCCAATGACACATCACCCACCACTGACATAGTTGAGACAACATCGCTTATCACATAAGGACTACAGTAAAAAAAATTGAAATGATAAAATTTGCCAGAATCACTGCACTTATCTCCTGTTATCCTATCATTTGTTTGTTATCCTATCATTTGTAGTTTTTCGAAGCGGGGCAAAACTTGCAAAAAATGTTTCCTTTTCGGTAGAAATATTATGATAGTTAAATAAAAACTGTTGCTTTCTAATGGAAACCATACAATTTTCTTATTTACGGTTAGGTCTACAATTTACAAATCAATAGTATTTTTCCCTCAAAATACACTCTTTCTTCCTCTTTTGATCTCTTTCGAAACCCTAATCAAAACCCTCCACTGCTACCCCGACGAGGGTTCCTCGCCGGCCATCAGAATCCGAGGTTATTTTTCTTCCCTGACGAGGTTTTCTTGTTCTTAGGAAAACCAAAGATTAGATTTGTAGGCTTATATCTTGAATTATTATCATAGTTATTATTCGCTTCATATTTCGTTTACGAGCAAATTTTGATCATTTATTGAAGAGCTCGTCACGTTAGGAGGATGTCAGCGAATCAAAATCACTTGCCTTTCGAAGTCGGGCAAGAGGCTGAATCAAAGAGCTTCATGAATGGCTATCGCAGTGCTTGGTTCCGCTGTAAGGTACATTTTTGGACCACGCTCTCGTTTCCAGTGGTTTTTCCGTTTCCAAGTATTTTTATATGTGATCTTGCGTTGTGCTTGCTTATGATAGTTTATTATTTCAATGAATATGTTTATTTTCCGGATTGCTCGCTGATATATTTGATTCATGGATTGGAGTTCTCCTTGGGTAGTTAAGTAGGTTGTTCTTCAAACACGGGTAAAAACCGATCTTCTCGTTTGTGTCAAAACTTCATCTCAGTTTTGCATGAAAACATATGATTGACATTGAATTAGAAAATATGAGTTCGTTGCAGGGTGAAAATGCCATAATTTTCTCATAGTGAAGTGTATTTTACGACTTATTTCTGTTGTGCTCTCGTTATGGCTACAAAAAATTAAATGTTTTTTCTGTGGTTTCTCTAACATAAGTATACTGTATCATAAATTGTGTTTCCGTAACTGGCATAACCTTTCTGACCTTATATAACATATGGAAAGCTAAGATTTAGAGTTGGCAGCTTGAGGTGACGCTTGTTTGAAGGTGTTGCGTTGATTGTGCGGTTTTAACCCACAGGGAAGTTTTTTTTTTGTCTGAAGTAATCCATGATTATTAGGTGGGAGAAATTGTAGCATGCACATTGCACAATAAGATATCTTTGATATGTGAAAGCACTGTCATGTAAAGTATGAGATAAATGCACTTTATATGGGGATTAGAAGCCCCTATATATTAGTTTGTAAGGCCTCTACAATAAAAGCATGTCTTTTTGTTAGGTTGTTATTGCTTGCCTTCCATTGCACGAATGCCTCTTATCTCCCACTCATGATATTGATTTTTATTTGAGTCGGTACTTATTTGATTTCTGAATACTCATAAACATACTTTTGCTTAATCTCATTTTTGACGCTTGCTTCCTAATCTATTAATCTTATGATTTCTGTCAGATAAAAGACATACGTGGAAAGAAAGGAAATATTCAATATTTTTTAGAGTTCTTTGACTTCCCAGATGAAAGTAAGTAATTCTATAATCTCATTGTTATCTATCGGCATGCAAGTTTATGAAGACAATTGTTTTCAGAAACTGTGATGGATGTTCTTCACATATATTGCTTGTCCAGTTCCGCAGATGAGATAGGTAATTGTGAATCATTTAGTTGATTACTTAGGAAGAGGTGAGTGTCTTGGGGAGGAATTGTATAGCTTATTAACTTTGCTTCTGACTTTTATATATCATTCTTTATTTCAGTATTTTTTTAACTGGAGCCATATTAGCATGTACCTGCAACATTGATGATCACCAATTAAAATGGTGGCTACCAATAATCATGTTTGGCTCATTTGCTCATAACTTGATGTTTACAGGGATAACATGGACAAAATTGTATCAAAAGCCCCTACGATATTCTAAATCACACGACGACAATAAACTAGAGCTTATGGTGCGCCCGACATTCCCACCTTACTTTCGTGAAAGCGCACGTCCTGACTCATATCCAGCAGTTGATGTCGTTGCTATTGCTGAGGATGACTGGGAAGTGGGGGATTTGGTGGATTGGTGGTCTGATGGTTGTTTCTGGTCTGGCCGAGTTACCCAGATATTGGGAAATGATAGAGTTGAGGTATTATTTTAGCTGGAATCAGTTGCTACATTTGGTCAGTGTACTCCTATGAGATGTATTATTGTGATTGCATATACTTTTCTGTTTGCCTGCATGCCATCTTCAAATGATGCACCAACTGTCATTAAGCAAGGGGTCAGATGCCACACCTCTTTAATTTCCCAGTCTGCGGCATGCAACAAAGACCTGGATTCTCTTTGCATAGTGTGGAGTAGTCACCATGATGGAGAATTTAAACCTAAAGTCGTCATATATTATTGTTTGAAATAAATGAATATACTTTCATCTACTAACATCGTCTATTTAATTCTTCCACGACTGCTATTGGACTTACTTAAAATCTATGACTACTGACTAAATTCTTGAGATTCTATTCCACCTAAAATTGGGTTCACTTCTCTTAATGAGTTAAGAGACTCATATTAGTCATGTAGCATTTTCGTGGAGACACTTTAGTTAATTTCTTTCAGGTTCTAATCAACTTCTTATATTCTTTTTTTTTGAGGGAAATTTTTTTCTTAGTTTTATTTGCAACATTTTAAAGTGATTTTATCTTTGGAATTGTGACCTACACCCCCTCTTTTGCCTTTCCTTTCGCTTGTTAGGTTCTTTTTCATTTCTAAGCTCTTAATACTCTTGTAAATTTCTGTATTTATTTGGTAGTGTATCAAGTGCATAAAGATGCCTCCTTTCAAGAAATCTTAAGCTTTGTGCATCCTAGATCAACTGCACTCTAACTGAATACCAACTTAAAAATTTATAGATACCTACTTAGGCCTTTATTTTGGTCCTAATCTAACTTTTATTAGCATCTTAGCTTTATTGGCATCACTGCAATAGTTTGTTTTTCCTTCCACGCTGTCAAGGATGCAGAATGATTAGAATTGAATCATCTCTCAACTTTATCATTGCTACAAATCTGAGATACATAACTAGTATAACCATTCAACTGTACAGTTAATTACTTTAACCTCCATCTCTCAACTGTACAGTTAATTACTATAACCATTCACCTGTACCCTCCATCCTTCCACGCTGTCAAGGATGCAGAATGATTAGAAATTGAATCATCTCTCAAATTTATCATTGCTACAAATCTGAGATACATAACTAGTATAACCATTCAACTGTACAGTTAATTACTTTAACCTCCATCATTCATAAAGTTTGTTTAGTAAATTTGTACCCCTGATGTGGCTTGTAGATGGTATCTTTTGTGAAAGAGAAACTTATCTTACTCAACAACAACTCCCTGTCATCCTTTTACTTGTGAGGACATGTTCACTGGGTGGAAATTTACGATCACTGGTTTCACATGTTTATTAAACATCTTATTAAATATCTTTTACCATAAACATCTGGACTAATGTCTAGAGGTAAGTTGTGCAGTCTAAATTCTCTATTTTAATTCATAGCTGATGGTGGGTAATACTCTATTACGATTACTCTGTTTCAATTTGAAGTACTTTACCACCTGTGTATAGTAGTAGATTTCTGATACTTTGCGCGTTGGCCATTCCATCACAATGACTCCATCCACTTTTCTAGACTTAGTTACACATACACATACAAATATAAATCCTTTCTTTTTAAATAGAAATATTCTGTGTATTGGAAGTTTGGAACTTTCTAATCACTGTCATTGCCATATCGTTTGTTTCACTTGCCAGAGGTTGACGATTGCATAGGTCTCACTTCTCAGTAACACATTCTTATAAACAAAATCATAATTTTTTACTTCCTCTTTCTGCATGCTTGAAAATATTTTAAATTAGTTCTTGAATTATAGAATTGAAGAAAACACTTAATGCATGACCAAGCTTTTTCCTAACCAGTGGATTTTGCCAATAGGCGTTTCAACATATGTGAGTAAAATACACAATGTAAATTTCCTATCGGGGTGATTTCACATACCCTGTCAAGAGGGATGGATCAAGAGCTATACTAGTCGGAGTAAACATGGCTTGTGATACCACTAGCTTTGGGCTGTGGTTTATTATCCAGCCGTGTTGACCGACAAAGGGAATAAGTTCTGGAGAAAAAGAATTAACAGGTTATAGGAGATGCTAAGACATGCATGACAAATATATAGGAGTTTTGAGATTAATTACTGAATAAAGATCTGAAATTATATTCCAACTTTTTACTCGGCTGTTTTTAGATTATGTAGTGTAATTTTGTACTCGGCTAGTTTGGATTTTATGATGCCTTAAACTTGAATAAGAATCCTTATAATCAATCTTATCATCATTTAATCTCTTTCTCTTCTGTACTCTTTGTCTTGAGAAGGTATAGTTTCTCTTGGGTTCCATGAGAGTGCACTGCATGCCGACTAGCATTGTTATCACTAGCCTGTTACACAAACATAACTCTCTCACCCAGTTTCCAGCTAGGAAAAAGGTACCAAGTTGACAAGTTCACAAGGTTGACTCAGACTTCTTTTGAACCTTCTCTTTATAGATGAATGCTTGGATAGCCCACCCTATTTTGTTTGAAGGATTGAAGGATTAAGCGCTTAACTGATGATGATTATGATGCTTGTATTGAATTAAGTAGGCTTAACGTTGACATAGTCAATTGCATACTGTGCGTATGAACATTTATTCCTTCTTAGTTTATGATCTCATCTCAAGTTATTTTTAATGATTATGGATATCCCAGCTGCTTTAATGAGTTCCATTTTTGTGATAACCGAAAGTGAATTTTCTTTGTTATGATCAGTCATCACTAATAGGGTACACCACAAAGAAAATAGTTTGAAAATAAGAAAATTTTCTCTGTTTATGTCTAAAGATAAAGTTGCCAGATCCTCCAATTGGTGAAGGAAAAGTTTATGAAGCTTTTTGCAAGGACTTGCGGCCATCCTTAAACTGGACTCCACAGCATGGATGGACAGTACCCATATCAAGGGTGATTTCTTGTGCTCAAGTTATGCAGTTATTTTCTCCCTTTTTTCATGAGTTCCTAGTATAATTATCTTATTGCATGTTAACTAGGAGAAGCTTGTTTTAGTAATGACGGATCAAATTAAGATACCCGTAGTCAAGTTCTGCTAGGCTTTGGTAAATCTTTGTTTCAGAAGCCTGATGCGAATGCGACAATCTTACAGAATCTTTGAGTATGCTGTATTTTCTACCTATCTTTTTGAACTGTAAAGAAAAGTCTGTGTAATTATTTTGGGTAACGAGTCATTAGATTTGGGTCTTTAGCCTTCTTGCCTGTGAAGTGTTACCACTTACCACTTACCAAATATTTACTAGTGAAAGTTTCTTTGAAAATAATTTTATACTCAGAAGGACTGGTGAGGTTTTATTACAATCATGTCTGTCAGTTTGAAGTTAAGCATGGAGTATGAATGAGGACCCATTGAAACTGAACCATGGAACATGAGAGGTGGGCAAATAGCTATAGTACATGCAACATGGCAATGTCACTGCAAGAAGTGCATGTTACAATTTCTACCCATGTGCGGCATGATGCAGATTGAAGCATGTATTCTTGATAGCTCTCATGCATCATGAGTTTCTTTCACTAAAGGATATTTTTGACTCATCTTCTAAATCAACACTTCTGACAAAAATTCCACTATATCTCTTCTTCTCGTCTTCTCGTTGTAATTTTAGATGTCTACCTTAGTTAATATGACGTGTGATTTCAAGCACAAACTTCTGAGATGAAAAAACTCTCTCTTCATGGTTTACTTGACAATTTTATATTTTTTAAATGGTTAAAGGCGTAAAACCATTAGTTAGATTATCAGAGTGTGGTTTCTGGATAGTAAGGAAACAAAATACAACATATATGACCAGAATACAATTCCTTAGTTCTTTTATTGTGTACTCAATCTTCAGTTACTTCCTGTAATGCTCTACTAAGTGCTAATCCTTAAACATAGCAAGGCAAATGGTGCTTTATTAGTTCATCACGCAGCATGTATGGCTTCTGAATAGAGTGGTATTTGTGACCTGTACCCTGAACCTGACCTCGTCAAATGTGTAGTAGTTAGGAGATCTTCATCTGTGGAGCTGCGTGGTTAAGCCTTGCTTACCAACTAGTTTAGTAGGTTAGGTGCTGTAGAGCCCATGTAATATTGATGGTAGTTTTGCATGGATACTTGTGTATATTTCCAATACTTATTAGGTTAATGTCCTAATAAGTATTGGATTGAATTTTACCAGGTTAAATTCTATATGATAATTAGAAGACCAGCAATGCTTTATGGATTGGAATGTTGGGAATTGAAAATAAGTATGAGTATAGCAGAAACGAGAATGTTATGATGATCTTGTGGGTATACACTAAAAGACGGGACAAGAAATGAGTACCTCCGTTGTATATGACCAAACCACCTCAACTAATTCTCTCATTTTATCGTCAATAGGAGCATCTCATCCTTAATATCAGAATGAGAAAAATACAATAAAAAAAAATAGAAAATAGAAAATTGAGTTTGAACATGTGCTCTTTCATGAAGGATCTTGCTAACAGATAGGGATGGGTCTAGAAATTTTTTCCTCATGAGACACCTATACAATTATATTACATATTAGTGACTTCTACAATAGAAATTGTACCCACAAAAAATATTTATATAATAATTACAAATATCTCACCACATAATAATTTTCTTTAAGATTTTCATATCAACACATAATCATTTTCATTTTCATCATAAAAGTCAACAAAACATTGCTAAATTCCGACATTGTCATTCACATTTGTTCTCTTTGTGGGAGACACCAAGTAAAAAGCTCGTGGGAGCACCTATTAAAAGTGTAAATAAATCCTAATATATTAGAAATATTTAAGGGGGCACGTGCCCCCACACTCATTCCACTTTTATCCGTCCCGGCTAACAGATGTTATACGAGATTTATGTATGTAATATATTATCACTTTGCAAATGCATAGTTAAGGTATAGGATATATGTATAGTATTCAATTTTTTCTGTTCTACTTTAATTGTTAGACCCAAATTATTATAGAAAAACAGACTTGTCTATACAAAGATATCATCCTTTTCTTGCCTGATCATCTGCATTTGATATATGTTTTTTAGCAGAGATTGATTCTAACTTACTAAATTTACTTGTTTGTGTGTTATGTTGTTTTATTCTACTTCTTCGAAAAGTTAACAATAATTTCTTTCACTTTGTTTTGGTTGGCGATAGGAGTATGGCAGTTCTCAGTATTGCGCTCGTTTGGTTCAGCCACTTAAACAAGGTAGTGTTTTTCATCTTTGTATGAATCTTTTCCCGAATGTTTAAGACTCTAGTCATGAAACATTGTATCATAAGCATTTATAAGTACAATGCAAATATGAAGCAAAAAATGAGCCTACTATCATTACAGCGGGTCAACGATTATCCTTATCATTACTGCGGGTTAGAGACTATCCTTATCGTTTTTATTTTCTTATTTGTCTTGTATTGTTTTGTTTTAGTCTACAGTGATATCAATTATCAAGGTGCTAGGCACAATGCAGGGCGCTAGCCCTTTAGACGCACTATTCGCAAGGCATAATATGGTGCGTCTGCCTCAGTTAGGGAGGTGCACAACCCAAAAGTTTATAATTATCACCTATCAAAATACATAATAAATCTTAATCTATAATCTTAACACACCAAACAGAGTGAATAATGTTCCACAAATCAAAAGTCAAGTCTAATATCCAAGAAAATGATATTTCACAATTCACAGAATCACAGACTTCGCAGTTTCGCTACAACTTTCATGCAAATATGCATTATACATGTTTTGCAATCTTATTAGACAACTAAATCAAATTCTGTATAGGTTCATGGTAGTATAGCTTATGTTTTTCCGTTATAAAATTGCGATCAATTTGACCATAAGTTAAACTTTTGATATTATATAAACTTTTGATATTATAGTAACTCAAACAGAACTCTTTCAGTACAAATGAAATATAAAACCAAGATAAGATTAGCACCAAAAAACAGCAAGTCAAGCAAAATAGAACTAGCATCAAGCAAGGAAAAAGAAAAATTTGAAAAAAAAATAGTAACTCACAACATTATGATATCCTATGATAGCCTTACAATACAAACAAATGAATGCCAAGATAAGATTAACTACCAAAAAATAGTGACTCAAGCAAACTCTCACATCAAGCAATTAAAACAAAAAAGAAGAATTTTTTGAAAGAGGCCTTTTTTGATAAATATTTAGCAAGAACGATCGCTTTGCTAAAAATTTAACAAAATCAATCTCTTTTTGGCCAGCTTACCAAGACTGGCTAAAAAGAAGTTGATTTTGTAAAATATAAGTTTCAAAACACTTCGCGCCCTAAACAAATTGAAAAAAACCTAGGGGACTAGTAGTTCTGTAGGCTTTCTGCACAATAACAACCCCCCTATCCCTCCATCACCACTACTATCTTCTTCTTCACCCCCCCTCCATCACCACCACCATCATCTTCTTCTTCTTCACTATAAATTACCCATCAGCTCACCAAGGCTAATCGCTGCCCTCTTAACATCCTCCTCCGACATCCTCCTCTTCCTCTCCCCCTCCATTAAAACCCCTAAAATCTAACACTCTCCTTCTCAAAAATCCAAAAACCAAAACCAACCATGGTCGACGTTGATCGCCGCTCAACCCCCGCCCTAACTCGCTCCCTTNACTCTCCACCTCCACACCGTCGGCCTCCACTCTCCACCTCCCGCTCAACCCCCACCCTGACCCGCATCGAGTCTACCATTGGCCTCACCTTCCCTCCCGACCTCTTGTGTCCTCCTCTCCCTCTCCTCCCCTAGCTTACCCAACTCGTGCTCCCCCTCCCTTCCCTCCCTCCGCCCTCCCTCGACCTCCCCATCGCCACCATCTCCTTCTAGATCGCCCACAACTCCTTAGCATCCTCCTCCGGTGGTGGTGGAGGGAGAGTAGGGTTTTTTTGAGAAGGATAATGTTAGATTTATAGGGAAGAAGAAGAAGAAGATGGTGGTGATGGAGGAAAGTGGGTTTTTTTGTTACTGTGTAGAAAATCCATAAGACTACTAGTATTGTGGATTTTTCTCAGCTTGTTTAGGGCGCGATGAGCGACCACTAAACAGACGGGACTAGTAGTCCCGTGTGTTTTGAATCTCATATTTTATAAAATCGATTTTTTTTTGCCAGCTTTGATATTTAGCAAAACGGTCGTTATCAAAGCTGACTAAAAAGAGGTCGATTTTGCTAAATATTTAGCAAAACGGTCGTTTTTGCTAAATATTTATAAAAAAAAGCCTCTTTCATAAAAAATTCATAAAATAAAACTGAACAAACAGTTAAACTCAAAGCAAAACAGCAAGTCAAAATATGATATCCCATTACAATAAACACAAATATTAAAATCAAGATAAGGTCAACTACCAAAACATAATTAACTCTACCAAAATAGAATTAGCATCAAGCAGGCTAAAAGTTTTTTAAAGAAAACTCGTTGGTCCCGTCAATCGCCTGTTTGTCATTTGCTGCGATAACTGATCATCGTTGTCTGCCTTTCGCTCGTCGTTTTCCATTCACCATTTTCTGTTCATCATTTGCGGCTTTTGTGAGAGAGAAGAGACACGGTACAGAGAATCAGGAGCCCCAAATCTGATTTGGGAGGGTATTTCTAATAAACGGGTTTTACACTAGCGCTTATTGGGTGCGAGACCCGATTCGATAGGTTCCAATTTTAATTAAATGAGGCAACACTTCAATAATGCCTCAGAAGAGGCGATGAGTGCTTGGAAGAATTTGACATCATACAAACATACTGTCAAGAACATCCTATCTTTGTAGAATGCTGTGTTGTTTATCAGAATCTCTCACTATGTTCGAAGAGCTTTCATTGACTTCTAGGTTCCACTTGACTTCTAAAGGTTAGTAGCTGTAACATGTGTTGACCTTTTCATTCATATGACATTAGGGGTTTGTGTATTTAGAAGACAAAAGGAAATTGTTTGGGATGTTTTAAACATGTGCAGCGGTAACCAATGAGTGTATCTATTAAAAGTGGCGGCTCATAATTGAAGAAGTGATGCTGACTGGGGGTAGACGTAAACAAACATATCGTGGTAGTAAGAGATCTTATATTTTTTAACTTAACAAGTGAAAATTGATTATTTCATGGAGGAAAATGAATCATGTAAGTGGAAGGATAGGGTGGGATAAAATACTTTGCCATTGTTGTTTGGTTTATAATCTTTTTGGTACAGGTTCTTTCCTAGTTGTCCTTTCTGTTTTTGTTTTCCAAGTCAATGCTAAAATATTTGATCACTTAGAAACCTATCCATATATTGCAAGAATAGCACCACAATATTCAAACTTATTCACATTATCTAGCAAAACTCTGGTTTTAAAGGGTTATCTTCAGACTTCTGGCGAAGCCTCTATTCTCTGCTCTCTGTATAGTGTACACTAGTCATTCCCAAAAATAGCAAAACTTAGTACTTTGGTGGGAATATCTATTACAGTTAATATGAATTAGCCCCTTCATAAAGTCTAAATGATAGACTAATGCTTTGTGGAAGCCATGGCTTTTCTTGCCTAGGAAAATACCTCCTATTATGCATGCTCTACAACCTTGTGGATACTCTGATAAAGAAATATTAACTTTAACTTAATTTTCATGTAAGCCTTCAGCTCATGTTGTACATCTTATATCAAGTGGTTTAAGGGAGATTTTACCTTTAAAGCTCTGCTTCCTAATAAAAGTTACTATTCACGGGATTGCAGATGAAGAAACTGAAGGAGATGCTCTTGTGAGAAATTCTACAGGTTGGTAGTTGTATGGAATATAGATTTCCCCCCCAAGCTTCCATGTGGTAGTTTCCTGTTCAAGGAAAAACATATCTTGTTTGTAAGGAAGACAGTGGTTTCATAGCAGATGCATTCAAAATTTATTTTCCATTTCTTAATTGTTATCTTTTTTGCTAATGTTGATGCAGAAGGAAATGATATAGCAGCACACTTGAAGTCAGATGGCGTCGCTGAAGAAAATTACTCTTGCAACCATCCTTCTTCCTGCCTGAAAGAAAGATGAATTCTCTCAGACCAACGTCATTATCCAGAGCAGGTCGATTTGCTTCTTCAAATTTTCAGGCGAAGTTACATAGCAGGCAAAGTAAATACATGGCTTCAAGAAGACACTCAGATACAGTTGAATCAGCCGTTATGGAACTAGAGGAAGTTGCAAACAAGATAAGGTGGCTCAAGGGACTTTTGCAGTTCGGGTTTGGGTGGTCTAATGCAATGAAACCTTCATGGAAAATCTTGGAAAACTCTGGACAACACGTCCATAGGTGATTGTTTAAACATGGTAAGTTTTTTATTTGATATGTCTACATGCAATCTTTGTCTGTTTTCTTTTGATAATCAGTTATTCTTTTATACTCAAGAGTTTTGTGATTAATTGTTTTTGGCTAACCTAGTAACCTGCCTAGCTAGTATGTTGTTTATTTATCTATTATGTTTCATTCCGTTGTTGCTTAGTATATGAATTCTGTAGAACACAGCCAGAAAGAAACATGCCCGTTAGAAGTATGAATTTTTTGCAGTTAGGCATTACTTGGAAATGTGTTTAGCACTCTACAATAAATATTTCTGGCATGTGATACATGTTTGTATGGCACGAGCTCTATTTGCAATTTGTTCCGTCTTATTTTAGTTTTGTAGTCTGAATATTTGATGGTCCTTCCATTTTATCTTGGGGTGCATTTTTATTTAATATTAGTAAAACATTGTTTTCCTACTGTTAAAGGAGGAAGAATGATGATGATAAATGCACAACATAGTCTTGTTTTTTCCTTCATGACTTTATATTGAATAGTGATTTCTCTTTAGATTTTAGAAGCTACGCTAGTCTTTCACCAAAATAGATTCTTATACAGAACATTAATCATGCTGTTGTGTTGAAGGGTATAAAACATTACTGAAGATTGACTGGAGGGAGATGATAAGTACTGTGCATAAGCTGTTGGGTTCAATCAGTGTGTTTTATGAATATGTGCCTTGACCGAAGATCATTTATTAATGACAATGTCTTTGGTCGCCATCAAACATCATTTGTTGCAAGGAGTCTGCGAGATCATGGTGAGAAGATGAACGTTAGATGATGACAAACCTCTTGGTCAGTTTTTCTTTCAATCCAGAACCTAACTTTCCTGGTAGTTAGGGTGTTAATCTGTTATTTTTTGTGCTCGAAGTCGCTGGCATAGAAGCACTCTTTACAATTTGCACTTCACTCCCATATTTATGCGTTTTCTTCTGCCTTACTGGATTCATAAGTGTAAACCATTGGATCTGTGGTGTTTGCTATGTTTCTATGAATGCTATTGGTGTTGGCTGCCCTGGTTTTTTCTTGCAGTCATTACCATTGTCGCCCTTATAGGTCTAATTTTTGGTGTTTCTTTTTCTTCAAAATAAGATACTATTCTCAACGAGCTAACCCTCCCTAGTTTTTCTTTTTAAAGCACAAATTTGAGGGATATGTAATTAGTCTAAGCATGCTTATTTATACAATGACATTAGTGTCTTAAAGGAAAACTGCATTCCAGATCGATTTGAATTTGTGGAAGGGTTAACATATATATAGCTAGCTTATTTGCAACTGCACTTAGGTGGCGTTTGGTTGCTTGCAACTATAGTTGCAATGTAAGTGTCACTTGCATGCAACTAAGACGTTGTAACTCTTCTTACATGCAACTACAGCTGTAATTGTTTGGTTCAAATTTTAAATTTTGCAACTTACAGTTGCAGTTGATTTTGCTTGTAACTTAACACCTGCAACTTATTTTTCACCATTAATAAATTATATTTAAGTTATTAATTCCTTCCGCACTTTTGAAATATTTATTTCTAAAAAAATAATTGCTTTTATTGTTAAGTAAATTGACTTCTATTTTTCTAAAAGTTATATGAGATATTTTTTTAAAATAATATTTTATTAAAATTTTAATTTTAAAAAAATAATATTGTTTATAAAATAAAATAATCTTGTAAAGTAATTTTTTTGTAAAATATAGTTTGTAAATGAATTTTATTAAAAAATAATTCATTTTCATAATCTTTTGAAAAATACTATTGAAATTTTCAAAAATAATATTTTAACAAATTATAATAGTATTCAAGGAAACTTTTAGTTTTAAAAAAAAAATACTTTTAATTTATTTTTTCAAAAATTAATAATTTTTTTATAATTAGTTTTTTGAAGATTTTTTAAAAAAAATAATATTTCTTCAAAAAATAGTTTTTCAAAGAATTATTATTTTTTAGAAAATTATATTTTTATAAAAGTAGTATATTAAAAACAATATATTTAATTAAAATATATTATTTTGAAAAGAACATGTTATTTTAAAAAGTAATATAATTTCAAAGATAATATATTTTAAAAATAATATATCTTTAAAAAATTAATATATTTTAGAAAATAATATGTTTTTAATAAAATAATATATTTTAAAAAACTAGTATAATAATTTTTAAAAATAATGTATTACTTTAAAAATAATATATTATTTAAAATATATATTTTAAGAAAATTATATTATTTTAAAAATATATATTTTAAAGATATAATCTTTCTCAAGAAATAGAACTTTTTAGATATATTATTTTAAAAAATAATTTATTTTATGAAAAATAATATTTTTAAAAGATAATATTTTTATTTTTCTAGAATAATATTATTTTTTTCAAATAATTATATTTTATAAATTATTGTTTTTTAAAAAAATTATCTTACAAAAATATTTTTTAAGATATTACTTTCACAAGAAACATTTTTTAGGAAAAATATTTTTAAATGACTTCATTTTCAATACTTTTTAGAAGAAATTATTATGGTAATAATTTTTTAAAAGATTATTTTAAATCTTTATTTTGAAATATTAAGTATTTTTAATAAATTTGGGTCAGTTGTAACTGTGAGTTGCGGCCGTTTTTTACGTAAGTCATATGTTGCAACTAGGAGTTAGTTTTACAATTGTGGTTATAACTGTAACTGTGAGTTGTAACAAAACAAAAGCTTGCAACTGCACTAATTTGACCCAGTTGCATGCAACTGGAGTTGCAACTACTCCAGTTGCGAACTACCAAAAGCTTGTAATAGCATTACTCATTGGTAAGTATAGCCGCGCGAGAACTTTCTTATTTTCTTTGTCAGCAGATTTAATGAGAGTACTTTTCATTGGTTACATTTTTAACCTGCAGAGGTCAGAGACAAAAAGGCTGCTGGAAAAATGAAGGTGATATGTGGTATAACCTTTAAAGTTTTAATATGTGTAGAGAATGTATTGAATCACTGATAATATTTCATTACGGATAGAAACATCAGAGTTGAGAAGTTTTCGTTTGTTCGTCAGTTTGCGTTTCTGGTTGACGTCTGTGTGAGATGTATCCTTGTCCGATTTTTTGATCCCTGCGTCATCACACTTTATCTGCTGCTAATGTGAATTAGTGAGCTTTATCTGCTGCTAATATGAATTAATGAGGTACTTGCTTCTTTAACTCGTTGGATAGTTTGATCGTTTCAAAAAAGTATTCTTAAGAAATGCTCTTGACTTTATTTTCTAAAGGTTAGTATGGAGTAAACTCGAGGATGACTGAGATTTGAACGTAAAATAGCATATGGGGATAGTTTTAGAAATGCGCATGATTTGAGAGGTTTATATAGAAAATCACACATGCGCACCCATCTATGGAGGAACAACTCATTCCTACCCGTTTTCCTCTTTTACATATTCATTTGTATTTTTTTAGACTAAATTGCACGAATACCATAAAGTTTCAGGTTACATTTTGGTATAATAAAATATCATAAAGTTTTTAAATTTTGCTTGTTGCTATCGTTGATCATGTGAACGTGAAAATTTTCACCCGCATGTTTATTTGTGATACTTACATGTTAATTTTAGAATTTTTAACTGATAATATTTGTTAAATTTACTATTAAATTAATTAATTTTTTTTAAATTTATCTTAATTCTACTTTAAAATAAAGTTGAGATATGCGTAATGAAAGTTTTAACATGCCATTTAGCCTTTTTTTTTAATAGATTACAAATCTACTCCTTTTTACTCAAACGAGAATCCAAAGAATTACTATTCATTCTAAAGTAATTTTCTATTTAATACTGTGGCGTGAGGTTCTCTGCACTTGAAGTACTGTTTATAATATAGTAAAATATTGTAGTATAAATAATAAATTAAATATGATCCTCCGCAATTAAAGTTACTATTTATGCTACAGTGTTTTACTGTATCATAAATAGTAAAACAAATCTAATGTACTAAAATTTAGATTCTTCTTTTAAGTATAGAGGAGTAGATATGATTTCTAAATCAAATGTATTAAAACTTGGATCCTTTCTTTAAGTATAGCGACGTAGATATAATTTCTAATTTTAAACATACAATAATTAAATCAAATGTATTAAAACTCAGAGGGATACAAGTTCAAAATGTAGTGCTTGCACAAGGTGCACATTAGTACTACTAATGGGTAAACCCTTCTTATAATATATTATTATTTTAAATATTTTGTTAACATAGGCATCCCAGCGGATCACATGGCATAATCTTGTCGCTTTCCGGTGGGGGGAGCCGATGTTGGATTCCCGTCTACGCTAAACGCGGTAATTGTGGCGGTTGGTGTGGTTTTTATGTGTGCTAAATTTGCGTGCTTATAAAATCAAGCTCATATGTATCTATTAAACCACAAAAATAACGTATTTATTTCTCTACAAATCATCTCTTACTCATTTCTTTGACAAAGGAATCATCAAGCCCATTTCTCTAAATCTTTAATTAAAGCCCAAACAAGGCTCAGCAACCAGCATAATGGATCTAGGCCCATTAGCCCAGTTTCCACCCAATAAATAAAAGACTACAAAGAGATCTAAGTTCATCAGTAAAAGAGGAGTCCATCGAGAAAATCGTCAAAGAGCTCGTAGCGATAGAAGGGGAGATCCCTCCTTTTCTCTTTTCCGAATCCCTCGATTTATCCATCGGCGATGAGTTCGAGAGAGGATAAGAAGAAGAAGGCGATGACGGGATCCAGCAGCGGCCGCGGTGGTATACGGACGCTCGCGGATCTGAACCGGCGACCCGACGCCGGATCCGATAGCGATTCTGATGGGCCGCAGGAGTACTACACTGGAGGAGAGAAAAGGTGAGATTTTTCACTTGATTCAGGGTTCTCTAACGTAAGACTAGGGTTTTTGGATGTGACATCTATGCGATCGAGCGAAGTTTCTTGATGTAGGGTTTGGTTGATTATGTAGCTAGGATTAGAATTTGAAAACCTAGATCGTGATAATTGAATTTGAACCAATTCCTTGTTTTGAAAAGTTTGAAAATACGATGTGGTTGGGATTGTACATGGTGAGTTTAACTGATTGCTTTGTCAAGGGTGTGAGGAATGGATCGAGCAAGATTACCTGATTGAGTTTTTTTGGTTGATTTGTAGTTATAGAATTTCAAACCCTAGATTGTAATAATTTAATAAATCCTGTCTTCATGGCTGTCAAGTAGGATATTGCACTGTAAGTGGGAAAGTTAGGGATTTTTCATTTGATTCGTAATTCTTAATATGATGTGAGAATCCACTTAATCTAGAGATTTTGGATGTGCTATTTTTGAAATATGATGTTGTTGGGATTGTATTTGATACGCGTCTAACTGATTGCTTTGTTAGGGTTGTGGATGTATTGGAAGGACAGTCCCTGATTTAGAGGTTGGTTGACTATGTAGTTAGGACTAAAGTTTCAAACCATAGATTGTAATAATTGAACTAATCCTTTCATTACGACTATCATGTAGGGGTACTGTATCGGAGGAGAGGAAAAGTAAGGTTCATTTGATTCAGGTTTCTTAATGATGTCATACTATAACCTATGTTTGTAGCTTGATCTACTTCTAGAATGGAATGGAATATTACTTAATGTAGGGTTTTTTTACTTTGTTGGCTTGAGTGAAAGTCATCTGATTAGGGTTTGGTTGATTATATATAGTTAGGACTAAAATGTTAAACCCTACCCAAAAGGGTCTAGCGGAGCTGATAAGCTGCTTATAAGTAGTACACCAAGGTGTCATGTTCGACTCTCTTGGGGAGCACCTATAGGAGATTAATTTCCTAGAGCACTCGAGGTTGTGCGTTAGGGGTTGACCCTTAGCAATGCCCAGGTTTATACCCATGGTTGAAGGATTTTGGGGAAGTTCCCTTGTCAAACCCAAAAAAAAAAGTTAAACCCTAGATTGTAATAATTGAACCAATTCTGTCACCACAACTCTCAAATAAGTATATGCTGGAGGGCAGGGACAACTTAAGGATTGACGTGTTGATTTATTTTTCTTTTATAATTTTAGTAGATATAAATTTTCGGTAGTCTGTATATCATACCATGTATGGTGGTAAATTAAGTATTCTTTTAGGATTGGTTTATATGTTAATAGTTCTGGAAGTCAGACATAAAGTTGGCTTATCAACGTTTGCTCTTTAATTCACTGTTTTGGCTTACAAAGATGAGACACCAAACCTAGAGGGAGGCTTCGGTCATGTGCTACCCTTTTGGAGAGGAGTCAATATGCAACAAACAAAAAAGCTTGGTTTTCGTTATTTAAAAGTTGCACAATTTTAAACTTGGATGGCTACAGTGGAGTAACAGAAAATTCTTGTGGTACTACTCAAAAGACTACAAAAAATCCTTATCACAAAGACAGTAGCTTAAAACCGTCAAAACCCATCAGAGCTATTGGGAGGAATATTTAGGGGAATGACTTGTGGCGTATCTAGAAAAATTTTCTTAAGGGTGGACGACAAGTAACTATTTATCTTAAAATAAAATATAACCCGTTAACTATATATTGTCATAAAATTTCTTTCTATGACTAACTTTTAAATGACTCAAATTCTCAGAGTAATAAAATAATCCATTAAATCATATATTCCTTTTACACTTTAATGTATTTAAAATTTTGAATAAAATTGAAAAACCTACTTGATAAACGAATTAACTTATTCAATTGGATTCTTGGTGTATTTAATTTTTTTAGTATGCCAATAGAAGAAAATATGTGAATGTGTTAACTAATAACCGAAGCAAACAATGTCAAGTCTTTATAAAAACAATCCAAAATAAATTTTCAACTCATTTGATATTTGGCGAGAAGTTGAGGAGTGGTGGAGGGGGATCAGAGAAGTTTGAAGTAGCGGAGGAGATAGGACAACCCTGACGTGGGTGCGCGTGCGCAGGTCGGCAAGGGATTATGCGGAGATTGAGAATAGAGTTATGGCTTCGATCTTTGCTCTTTGAAATTGGGATGATGATCCCAGGAAAGAGGGAGGGAGTTTTGGATAATAGGTAATGGGGTTTTAGTATTAAAATTTGGTCTTACTATTGTAGTGTATGGGCCCATTCGATCTTATTATTTTAAATTTAAATGGGCTTCTAATTTCTAAGCAAATGGGTACGCTAACGGTCAGGGTGCAACTTGTTAAAATTTATGGGAGGTCGATCGCAATCACTTGAAGGCTTTAACTGCAAGTTTGTAAATTTTATGGGTGCAACAACACCCTAAGTGGGTACCTAGATCCGCCTTTGGGAATGATAGACCCGTACAGAGAAATGGTGAATCTAACCTAAAGCCAATGATCTTATCTTTTTCAGCTTGTATATTCTATGCTTCCCTTCATGTAGAAGAGCCATTGTCGCTTCTTGTTGTTGTTCATAGAGATACAATGAATATATTTGTGCCAGTGTTTTCAGAGACGTGTGCCTCACTGCACCTCATACGCCTTACGATACGGGGCGGTGGCGAAGCATCTCGCCTCGCATCTGACGCAACGACGTCTTTTGCGCATTGCATACATCTTGACTTTGTGCAGGATGCATATAACACATACCTTCATCCGCCCCGCGTCTGATGCAATAGTGTCTTTTGCGTCTCGCATACATCTTGACTTTATGTAGGGTGCATATGGTACATACCCATATATGGTGCATATGGTACATACCCATATATGGTGCATATGGTACATACCCTCACATATTTTTGTTTGTTAATGTTTTAATCGAGTCTTTGTACTTGATAATCCATATCTCAAAAAGCAAAATAAAGCCATTAGGCATTTTTAGTAACCTTCAATTGATGACCATAACTAATTTCTTTGCTTGGATATTAGTCTTGATTTGATATTTGATTTGAAAATTTATGAACTTTGCTATTACGTTGGGTGTTAGCATTAGAAATTAGACCTCATATTATGATTTTGTAGTAAGATATTATTTATCCTGATATATTTTTTATGTGAATTCATAAACATGTTCTTTCGTACTTGATTATCTATCTAGAAATATTATGTGTGCGGTGTGCATCTGGCATCACTCGAGCGTGCACCCCGCATTGCACCTTGCGTACATGCGCGTTAAGATACTTTGCGCCCCGCATTGCGCCCCGCGCATTGACAACATTGATTTGTCGTCATAAGTTGTACGGATCCAAGTTATGGTTGATTATTTATCTAGAAAAATTATGTGTGCTGTATGCACCTTGCATCACTCGGGCGCGCACTCCGCATTGCACCTTGCGCACGCGCGTGTAAAGATACTTTGCGCCCCGCATTGAGCCTCGCGCATTGACAACATTGATTTTTAACCATAAGTTCTACTGGTCCAAGTTATGATTGCATTTAAAAGTCTAAACTGGACTGATTATAAACTTTACTTGAGTCACAAAGTCATATTTTCAACCTGTAAGTTAAATGTTCGGACTTAAAAAATTTTAGACCGATTATAACCTGGAATCACAAATTCATATCTTCATTCCATAGAGTGGGAACACAACTAGAGCTCTGGATCGACCATTTTTTATATGTGAAAAAGGTAAGTCTCCTTCAAAGTTTCGAATCATTTAACTCACATGTGGCTCTATGAATAGGTCTTACTTTCAAAAGTTTGGATGTGATGTATAAAATGTTATTTTTGCTTATCGATACAATTATGATGATAATAGAACGAACCAATACTGCAGCCACAAGTCCAAAGATTATGTTATGTAATTTAATAATCTTCTAATGCCTTCTCAAGAGTAATTCAATAGTTAGTTTCATGTTTTGAGTTAATATATTTATATCTTTGAGAAAAAATTAATATTGAAAACGTAAGCATGGTCCAGAGCTCCTGTGACTGATCAAATTTGATTAGACTAAATGTTGATGAGGAGCTCAACTAAAACTGATTTCTCAAACCTTGGATGGAACTATATTCTGTTAAAGGCCTTCACTTTGAGATAATTAACCTCTTGCAGGTTTATTGACTATTATGCTTCCATAATACTATATGCTGATCCTACATACTTGATGCTTGCAAAAACTATGGTTATCTAATTACTCAAATTGAAACTTCGTGAAGTATGCAAGAAAATTTTTGGAGCAATCAGTGTCTTCTGTTAACACTGACCGAGTTTTTTTTTTAATGTTGCTTAAATTACTTATCTACTAACTTAGTATTGCTTCTACTATGAAAAGGTGTGTTCTTGTATTGTTTAATTGCTTGATTAATTCAATAATTCGTGAAAAGTTGAAATGGTTGCTGGGAGTTTCACCAACTTTTTGTTCATTCTGCATTCTAGAACAATCATTGTCAACATAAGATAGTATCATCTTTTCAGCTTCTGATGCTTGGTCCTTCTATGCATGTGGTTCAATGAAAAATAGGTTGTTTGGGGAGAGAAAGGGTGCACGTGCTAAACTTTTATGAGTATTTGGTATGCTTGAAGTGGGCTGCCTTGTTCGGTTGCATCTCAAGGCTAATTAGGTTCTTTTTTTAGAAATTGGGACCAGAGATGCATGTGTTTGCTGCTCTGGCGTGTCGTAGAATTTCAGAATAGGGATATAGATGCACTAAAATACCCTATGAAAGATTTGTAGCTAGGCATTAAAAAAAATTATTCTAATTTATAAATATTCTACCTGAAACAATTATCAATATTTATGACAATGCTAGTAAAATGCATGTATGCATCTACGAAGTGTGGTTTCTCATCATTCATGCAGTAATTTATTGACATCTTTATTCAGAAATGGATGCTTGATTTTGCAAATTTTCAGAATGTGCTAGAGGGAGCTATTAAAAAGTATTCACTAATTTGACTATGTATCCAAAAAGCAGTAGGCAGTGAATTTGACTATGTATCCAGTATCCAAAAAGCAGTAGGCATATGCATATGATATATGGCTGCGACACTGGGGTAAACTTTTTTTGCTGAGTGCTTCAGTACCCTTATTCATTTTGTAGGTTCACCATATCAAATTGGTTTATCTTATGCAATCTGCTTAACTCTTTTGGACAGATGTAAATATCTCAGGCAACAAGTATTTGGTAATTTTAGCTTCTCAAACAACAAGAAAACTCATCCAAAACTCTTTTGCAAATTGTTGGCTACAACTTTTGAGTATCAAATGTTTCTTGCACATCAGTTGTCTTCTGATCTGTTGTTTTTTCAAGTACTTCTCCTATGAATCAAAACTGCTGCTTTTTTTTTTTTTTTGATGCTTGTCATGCAGTGGAAATGCTTGTTCCTTGCACAATTAATTGTCTTCCGATCGTTGTTTTTCAATCCTATTAATCAAAACTACTACTTTTCTTTTATTTTTGATGGAGTGGTTGCTAATACTGTACTTGTCATGCAGTGGAATGCTTGTTCAAGATCCTACCAAGGGGGGAAATAATGTTGATGCACTATTTGATAGAGCTAGGCAAATGGGAGCTATGCAGGGACCTTTTGAGCCTCATACATCTTCAAGCTCAAGAAGTTTTACTGGGACTGGTAGACTTCTCTCAGGTGAAACAGTACCTGCAGCTCCTCAACCACCTGACAATGTTATCCATAATATATATTTTTGGAGGAATGGGTTTACTGTTGGTGATGGACCATTGAGAAGGTTTGACGATCCTGCAAATGAATCATTTTTAGAGGTATTTCTCATACACTTGTACTTTCTGATATGTCGTCTTTTGTTGAGATGACCATATATTGCTCTACGAATGAAATGAACAATTAGGACTTACAAATTGGGCAGTTTTGTTTCATTATTACCTACCAAGTTGAAGTTCAACTTCTACTTCACTGGGTGGACTATACTGCGGTCTAAGAGAGGAAAATTGGTTTTTTGATGGCCCTACCTGTGAACTTATTTTTTTCCCTTGTCCAAAATCTGTTTGCTGAGACAATCCTGGTTACACTCTGTGAACTTGTCGCATTGCCAAATATGGCCTGGAAGAGAACTGTGTGTTTTGCAATTCCTTGGTCCTGCATATTCTGCACATAGAATTTTCAGAAACCAAACATTTTCATCTGTTTGTTTATTAAGAAGGTAAAGGAAGCTATTTGTCATGGAGCTCAGCATGAGTTGTGTATCACTCATTTGCTAGTAATTATACATACCATACTGACCTTATGCATGTTTTTTATTTTCTAGATTCTATGAGCATTTATCTTTGTTTGCCGTTTGGATATTTACATGAATAATACTGTTCAGACTGATCATAACCTTATACAAATGCACCTTAAGTCAAGTCATGCTTCTACGGGTCTTGGAACTCGGTTGCAAACTACGTCGGCATATGTTTTTGTTTCCATTAGATAATATATGCAAGATTACTTTCCTTATCCTCAATAAAGTTATCACCACAGCCCATTGTTCTCACTTTGAAACGAATGAAAGTTAGACAAACCTAAAGTCCTGATTAATATCTGATTTTTGTAGAGCATCAAAAAGCAAGAGTGCCCTAAGGAACTGGAGCCAGAAGACAGGAGGTCCACAGTGCACGTTAACCTGATAAGGAGAGAAGAAAACTGCCCTGTATGTCTCTAATCAATAATTCGCCATTTCCTGTTACGTCTCTTTATACCTTGTGCTCACCTTTAACTTGCATTCTTTATTGCAGGAACCAGTGAGGCATCTGAGTCCATTTCAAGGAGTAGGAAGAACTCTCGGCGGCGAATCTTCTTTTACCGAGCCTATTAACCAAGAGCCTGATACTGTAGCTGCTGCTGCTCCTGTGGTAGCGGACGATTCTAGGCCGACTACTTCAATACAACTGAGATTGGCTGATGGTTCGAGAACAGTTGCACGCTTTAATACTGACCATACTGTTGGGGATATAAGGGCCTTTATTGACAACCATGCAGCAAGCAGTGGAAGAGCAGCTCCGCCTTCTTATACGTTGCAGACTGTTGGGTTTCCACCCAAGAAGCTTACTGATGCTACCCAGACTATCGAGCAAGCTGGCCTTACCAATTCGGTGGTGATTCAAAAACTCTAAGCTGTTTGTGTGCAGAGTGAGGACAATTTGTAAGGATTTTAAATACAACCACTTTTATCTCTTAGTAACTCATTTTATAAACTGAGATGGCAGCTCATATCTAGTATATATTAGTGAAATACAGCGCTTTCGAATTCAAACATGATCTGCAGTTAACTTTAGCGTAGTGTTTTCTGAACACCAATATTTATTGTTCGACCCTCGTGCGTCTTTGATGATCTTCTGCTGCTATTAAATTCTGTTGACGTTGGGACCGTGTAGAGGCTGGTTGGATTATATGAGGCTGCTATCTTTGATGTCTTTTAAGTTTTATCCTTCTGGTTTGTATACCCTCTTTGTATCTTTACCAAGGGAATCCACAAAGATAACACAATACTAGCTTTACTTGACTGATTTTTTTTGTATTTTGGCAGTATATATATAGAGATTAATGGGTATCATTGTCATAGGAGGAGATTTCACTCTTTGTCGTTTATGTGGCACAATCCCTACCATCCTCGTAAAGTAGGCACAAATCTCCATCAACTCGCACTCTCCCTCCTACTTTATGAGGATGGTGGGGTTTGTGCCACATAGGCGTCAAGGAGGAAATCTCATCCTATGACAAGGATACCCATTAATATATATATATATATATATCTCTCTCTCTCTCTATATATATATATATAGAGAGAGAGAGAGAGAGAAATATGTGTATGCTTGGTACCAAACACAAATTTTGTACTTGGTAGTGAGGTGGCACAATCCCCTCTACTCATTCAAATGGGGGACCACATTCACATGAGTTGAGGAGTGCATTTGCATATGATGTTTTTGTTTCCATTAGATAATACTGGCAAGATTACTTTCCTTATCCTCAATAAAGTTATCACCACAGCCCATTGTTCTCACTTTGAAACGGAATGAAAGTTAGACAAACCTAAAGTCCTGATTAATATCTGATTTTTGTAGAGCATCTAAAAAGCAAGAGTGCCTAAGGAACTGGAGCCAGAAGACAGGAGGTCCACAGTGCACGTTAACCTGATAAGGAGAGAAGAAAACTGCCCTGTATGTCTCTAATCAATAATTCGCCATTTCTGTTACGTCTCTTTATACCTTGTGCTCACCTTTAACTTGCATTCTTTATTGGCAGGAACCCAGTGAGGCATCTGAGTCCATTTCAAGGAGTAGGAAGAACTCTCGGCGGCGAATCTTCTTTTACCGAGCTCATTAACAAGAGCCTGATACTGTAGCTGCTGCTGCTCCTGTGGTTAGCGGACGATTCTAGGCCGACTACTTCAATACAACTGAAGATTTGGCTGATTGGTTCGAGAACAGTTGCACGCTTTAATACTGACCATACTGTTGGGGATATAAGGGCCTTTATTGACAACATGCAGCAAGCAGTGAAGAGCAGCTCCGCCTTCTTATACGTTGCAGGGACTGTTGGGTTTCCACCCAAGAAGCTTACTGATGCTACCCAGACTATCGAGCAAGCTGGCCTTACCAATTCGGTGGTGATTCAAAAACTCTAACTGTTTGTGTGCAGAGTGAGGACAATTTGTAAGGATTTTAAATACAACCACTTTTATCTCTTAGTAACTCATCTTTTATAAACTGAGATGGCAGCTCATATCTAGTATATATTAGTGAAATACAGCGCTTTCGAATTCAAACATGATCTTGCAGTTAACTTTAGCGTAGTGTTTTCTGAACACCAATATTTATTGTTCGCCCTCCGCGTGCGTCTTTGATGATCTTCTGCTGCTATTAAATTCTGTTGACGCTGGACCGTGTAGAGGCTGGTTGGATTATATGACGGCTATCTTTTGATGTCTTTTAAGTTTTATCCTTTGGTTTGTATACCCTCTTTGTATCTTTACGCAAGGGAATCCACAAAGATAACACAATACTAGCTTTACTTGACTGATTTTTTTTGTATTTTTGGCAGTTATATATAGAGATTAATGGGTATCATTGTCATAGGAGGAGATTTCAGCTCTTTGTCGTTTATGTGGCACAATCCCTAACCATCCTCGTAAAGTAGGCACAAATCTCGCATCAACTCGCACTCTCCCTCCTACTTTATGAGGATGGTGGGGTTTGTGCCACAATAGGCGTCAAGGAGGAAATCTGTCATCTCCTATGACAAGGATACCCATTAATATATATATATATATATATATATATATATATATATATATATATAGAGGAAAACTTATGTCAACTTAAGTGGACGTCCACTAAGTTTTCTTAGTCATTGATGATCACTTGATTGAGCTACATTGTGGATGATCCGCTCCGTTGAACTTGATCTACATATTTAAAACCCAACACACCAAATTTGGGGTGAATCCGTCATGGTTTGACCCTTCATCCACTTCGCTATAATTTTAACGGTTTCGAATGAATAGAACTTTTACATGGCTCGACGGAGGGTCAAACCATGACGAGATTCACACCAAATTTGGTGTTTTGGGGTATTAGAATATGTAGATCAAGTTCAACGGAGCGATCATCCATAATGTACGGCTCAATCAAGTGATATCAATGACTAAGAAACTTAGTGGACGTCACTTAAGTTGACACAGTTTTCTCTCTATATATATATTATATATATATATATATATATATATTATATATATATATATATATATATATATATATATATTATATATATATATATATATTATATATATTAAAGTACTTGTATATGGACTCGGCGAATGTTATCCTTCAAACTTAATTGTCTGCTTATATTAAATTTAAATTGAAACCTCTATTTACGCACGTATGATTTCAATACCTCTAATGATTGTTTGAACATCCGGTCTAAGGAGTGCGGAGAATTCCGTCAGACATGATTTTCTCAGGCCGTGATCTGAACTTCAAAACTACAAACCTCATTTCGAGGGACGAAGCCCAATAAACCTCTGTTCCTTTGCTCCCATTTTCAGTGGTGTGTTTTGCAGCCCGAGAAAACTTAGTTTTAGTGGATATAAACAAGGTCTAAAAATTAATTTTTTTTCTCTTGCATAATTTGAGCCAAGTTCCGATCAAATTCTAGCTCTTAAAATTTAATTAACGTCAAACACAGCTTTGTAGTTTGAATTTGGAAATTTAATTAACGTGTTATACAACACCTACCTTTTTATAAATCTAGCATTTATCTTTAAGATTTGCGCTTAGGAGAGAGTAGGAGACCTGAAATTTAATATTCAACTCAAATAAGTGTCCTTGTCACACTTGTGGGAGGAAACCAATCTTTATAAGATGAAATTGCATATTTCTTCTCTAAGATTTGCTCTCTCGGGTGAGGAGTACACCTGAAGTTCAATATTAATCAACTTTATGTCTCCGCACACTTAACAAAAGTAGCTTTATTTGTGGAGGAATCTTGCATATGTCTTTGGGATTTAATTTAATACTCAACAGGTCAAAGTGTTTTTTTTTTCACCCCCCTGGATTTCTCGAGCTCTTTTGCCAACGCATCTTAAAGTGCCAAACAGGTGAAGGACTCTTGAAGGTAGTGCAGTCAAATTTCAACATCAACAACATGTATAATGAATTCCACACGTCTTCAATTTCCCATGTCAAGAGAATATATGCGTAGATATTAAGATCGCTGTCTCACGGACCATGGGAGTAGATACAAAGGAGAAGAATTAATTTTGTCGAGGAAGGGTTCAAATTTTAAGACACTCTACACTCCCATCAATCAATGTCATGCCCAAATGTTTTGATCTGATGAAAATGCAACCGGACCCTCACTATTTACTCTATCGTGAAAAATGGGATACTGATCAATATTTAATCTTACTTTTATGTTAAAATCTTATTGAGAGTATCAGATAGATTGAATGACACTTCTCATCATGGTAGAATCGTAAGAGCATCTCTAACAGCTTTTCCAAAATTTTCTCCAATATGGGGAAGCAAAAGTCATATTTTCCAACTAATTTTTACACCAACTCCAACAGCTTTCACATTTTGAAGAATCTATTTTTTCTCCAAAATTTTGGAGAATGCTGCAGATTTGGGGAAGCTTCCCCATTTTTTCTCCTTCATCCCTATTTTGAGGAATGAGATGGGAAATCTGTTGGGCCAAAAACCTAACTAAATTCTCCAAAAGTGAGAAATGGGGAAGCTGTTGGAGATGCTCTAAGGAGCATATTGTTAATTTTGCACGTGAAATATCTTTTCTCATTTACTTAATTTGTTTCTTCTCTTATTTCTGGAGGATTGTAAATTATGAATCGGAATTAAATATTCGTTCACAATAATTAAATATTCATCTTTTTCTTATTTTTAGAACATTCTAAACCATGAACGAGAATAAGATTTAAAATAATGTAATTAAATAATCATCAAGTTATGCGTTACAAGAGACTAGAATATAAAATGATAAGATCGAAGTATAAATATGATACGGGTGCATCTTCTTCTTTGCTTCGGGAGCTTAACGATCCTCATAAGAGCTTGAGGATAGACGATTCTCATGGTAGCTTGAGAATAGAAGCGTCAGGTTAAAGCGAAACGACGGAGCGCGAAATCGAAGCGTGCAGTTTTCAGTTCATAAGTCGACTTAAGGTTTGCATAAGTCGACTTAAGGTTTGCATGAGACGACTTACGAAACCCACTCCAGTTATCAAAAAGTTTCTGCTGAGTCGACTTTTGAAAGCATAAGTCGACTTAAGGGGGGTCGTGCGCGTTTGTGCATGTTTTTGACTGTTTATAAGTTGACTTGTGGAACCCATACGTCAACTTAT